AAATGGCATCTGGTGTTACTGGAAAATACTTCATTTCTCACACAAATATTTTTATTCTTTTTATCTGAGGATAAATTAACAAGAAATCAATTTGTATTTATCTGATTACACTGATAATGATTTCTAGATCCATTTCTTTCAGCAACAGTTCATAAGTTTTTCATATTTCCAGAATGCTTCTGACATTATAAAACATGATACACGAAGGCTGGAGGAATAGTTCAGTGGTAGAGGACTTGCCTAATATATATAAGGCTCTGGATTACATCACTAGCACTGAAAAAAAAAGAAGGAAAGAAAGAAAAAAGAAATGAATAGAGAAAGAGAGACCAATAGTCTTTTCATTCATTTATAAACTTGGAATGGTAATCCATGGTCACTTTGTCTAATTCTTCTAAAAAAGATTTTTAGCAGAAGTCCAAAAACTGACACCTAATAAATCCTACTTCCAAAAGAGATGTTTTTTCATTAAAATTGAAAAACACATTTTTCATTTTTTTTAATTCTATCTAAAATGCTTTTAATTTTCCTATTGAAGACCATATATTGTTTATGGAATAGTTTAATGAAAAAGTAATGTATTTTATAATTTTAAGGCTATATCTACAGTCAACATTTATTCTCACCACCTCCTACTTGTGGAAACCACAAGTCCTGCCTTCTCCAGTGCCTGTGCTGCCTCTCTCTAGCCTAAGCTCACAATACAAATCTAGTTTTAAATAACGTAAGTCTTCCCTATAGCCATCAACATTCATAGGCACAAATCTACTTCTTACTTTAGGGAAATATCAGCAGCAAACCCTACTCAGATTTTACAGTGAATGGCTTCTGCTTTCCATGTATGTTTTAATTCCATTCACAGAGCATCTTTATATATCTCAAATTTGAGAGACCTCAGTAAGTGCATTTATTATGTTCTTACAAGTAACCTGTCAGAAATGAATGTGAGCCAAGTTTGCACTCAATACTCAAAATATGAAACAGGGAGACTATGGCTATACTGCAATGTTTCCTACCTGATTATTCAGAACAGAGGCTTAGCTTCATGCCAATCTTTTACATGCATTGCCAGACTAAACAAGTACCTTCTGAGGTTCATCAATCACAATTTATGATACATTAAACCAAATCTAATGTTCTCTCAGGCTGGTGTTAGGGGATTTTCAATATTCAAGCTAAGAAATTGCATTTGGGGAAAGGGATTTCTCCTCTATTTTTCCAAAGAATGTCTTTAGCTCTATAGTCTCTTTGAGTCTATTGGACCCCAGTTATACTTCAGCACTAATCACAGATTGATTTTAAGAGTCTGAAATCGTAGCAGAAAGTGACTTTAAATTAACATTGCATGAACTACTATAAATTGTTCACTGAAAAAGAGAGTGTTTAATTATAAATGAAGGAACCTGTTTCCCAGCTGATTAACTATATTAAACACTCTATATTTTCAAAGCTCAAACACAATTGTTAATAAGCTATTTCTCACAGTGAGTCTCCAAGGGGGCCTAATACTATCACCTCCTATTTTTAAAAATGACACACTTGACCCATAAGAATTAGATAGTTCATCTTGGACCACATAGCATAGAAATGAAAAACTAGAATTAGGTTGCAAGTTCTCATGTACTAATGTCTGGTTTACAGAGCTATGTTTTTGGTTTTCTGAGCAAAGTCAGTGAAAAGACTAAATAAATTTCATTGTCCTCTATTTCTACAGATGTCATCCACACACAGAATTTTATTTTCCTTAGACCATTTCATTTCTAGTTATGTTGTTACAGGAATAACAAAACCAGCATAGAAAAATGACTCTCTGGTCAAATTACTCACACCCCTTGTTCTGGTATTCCTTAAATTGAGCTCAGTTAGCAGATTGAGTTGCCCTGCTTTTCTCTTTAGAATCATCAGTGTCAGTTGAAAAACTAGTATGAATGGTTTATGCCAAATCTTAGAATTGTCTGATACAGAGATCAAATATACTTATCAATAAAGTTTCTTTTTAGTTTGTTAAAGTA